GCCAGCCGGTCCCGTCAGGATTCTCGGGAACCAAAAGACTAAGAACTGGCGGGCAGCCGGAGGAGGCTCTTTACAGACACACCTGAGCGACACTTGGCGCGGCCTTAACAGTGAAAGAGCCCACGCAGGAAGCCAGCAGTCCTGTCAATCCTTTCAACAGGAGGAACCCCCTCCCCGCTCCCCTCCTTTTTAAACCAGCTCCCCTTGACACCAAGTCCAACAGGAGAACTGGAGCCCCTGGGCCCACAGGAAAGGCTCTCCGGCACATATCTGGAAGGTTGGGGATTCGAATCCACCCCAGAAACTCTTCACAAGAAAGGCCTGGCCACCTGCTTCTGAGAACATCAACCGAGCAACAACCTGTGGCGCCATGCAGGCTGGACGATCCTCCACCTGTTGCCCTGAAATCACCTGTGGCCCTCACACCAAGATCACCCCCTGGGGTCTCCTAGGAAAGTCACGTCCGCCCCGCACGGAGGCTCTCTTAAGAACGCCCCACACAGGATCAAACTGCTCCTAGTGGCCTGGAAAGTTTTCAAGGAAGCTTGGTGGGGGGGGGAAGAACCACTCACGAGAGGGGGGCTGGGTGTGGCTGCAGGCCTTGAAAGTGGTTACCAGTGTCACCGAATTGCACTTGTCTTTAAAGATCCGATGGAGAGAGACCAGAGACAGAGAGAGCCTCCGAAGGGGAGAGCGTGCGTGGGATCATCGGCACCGTGCCATCTGGGACCTCGGGTCAGCCATTTGCATGACCAGGCCAAACTCCCCGCCACCCGCCTGGTCTGATGCTGCCTCACCGCGACCCGACAGGGCAGGGTCGGGGTGCCCCTGAGGCTGCCACTGCCTCCAAGAGTAGAAAGCCCCCGGATTCTCCCAAGATAACTTCTTTTAAAATCCCCTGTAAAGCAGGAGAGCCGCCTTCTCCCCCATGCCCGCATTCCCGCATGTTGTGCTGAGAATGTGCCCTGTTATTTGACACAAAAGCCCTCGGGAAGGAGAGCCCGGAAAGGGCGGGCTTGACTTGTAGGAAGCACTGTGGCCACGTAAGGGTCTCAGAGAGATGCCTGCAAAGTTTGAGAAGGTTGGGTGAGTTTTAAGAAGGAGACGTAAAAAGTCACCCGTCCACCTTGTAGTCAACAGATGGCAAGAGCACGCGGGTCTAAACAGCCAACACCTGTCTGGGGGAGGGTTGCTGTGAGGCCCGTACCTGGTGTGTGAGGTAGGGACTTGTCCCAGGAAGATGTCTCAGGAGAGTGAAGGCGGCGGCGGTGGCGTCAGGCTCCTGAAAAGCAAGGAAGAGGCATTAGGTGTTGTCTCTCTGGGCTTCAGGGCCTCCGAGGCGGGGGCTGTTAAGACAGCCTCCCCCGCAACTATGACACCACCAGAAGACACAGGGAGTCTTATGGGGGGCGCGGGGGCGCTAAAGAGCGGCGTCCCACCACGGCAGGACAGCTGGGGCCCGAGGCTGGCATGGCTCAGAAGTGGGACCCTGGGTCAGCTGGCTGGCACCCAAGCCAGAGGTCCAACTCCAACAGGTGGACTTGCATGTTCCCAAACGGGACATCGTGGGAAAGCCGGTGGTCAGCACCCTGCAGCATGGTTCTCCTGGGCTAGCTGAGCGGACACCTGCCCTCAACACCAGCAGAGACCAGTGGCTTCAAGATAAACCACAGATTGTTCTAGAAACAGGCCCTGCCACCCTCCCCTCCGCCATGCCCGGCAGAGTGGCCCCCTGTACCAGCAGGGATGAAACCATCATCGCTGACAAGCCCCAGGGGAACCTCTCGGACTGCGGGGGTCGTGGCCTTCCCTTCCTTAACCTCTCCGTTTCCGTGTCCACCAGGAGCTGGGGAGGCTTCGTGAAGGAGGCTGAAAATGGCGCTCAGCAAATGTGAACCCAGAGGAGTCCCTTCATCACACCAAACACACCACGGCGATGCCAATCGTTTCCCCATTTAAACAGCAGCTGGCTGTCTCTAGGGGCCACAGTGGCACCGCGATCACACAGAAGGCTGCTATCCACAAGAGCAGCAGTTCGATACCACCAGCCTCTCTGTGGGAGGAAATGGAGGCATTCTACTCCCACGAGGAACTGCAGGGACCCGCCCACCCTGTGCTAGAGGGTGGCCATGCGTCAGAGTGGACTCCATGGCCCAGAGTCTGGCTTGTGGGCTTCAAGGTAGCCATGTGTAAGGATATTTTTCAATCTCATTCTCATTACCACAGAGTCCATGCCTCCTCACCACCACCCTCCATCCAGGGCAGGCTGGAACTGCCTGTGGGCTTCCCAGACAGCAACTCTTGGTAGGAGTAGAAAGCCAAGAGGGTTAGCCCTTTGCACACAACCACCCCCCACCCCCACCCGGGGACCCCTTAAACAGTTGGTGCTGACCCAAAGCTCACTGCCATCAAATGGAGTCCGCCTATGGAGACCCTGCAGGACAGAGTAGAATTGTCCCCTGGCGTTTCCCAAACTTTACATCTTTTATGGGAGCAGACGGCCTTGTCTTCCTCCCATGGCTTGGCTTGGTGGGTTTGAACTGCTGACCTCGTTGTCAGCAGCTCCGGGGCAGCAACGACTACAGTGTTTTGATGTACTACACGGGAGTGCCCGCTGTGGGGAAAATGACATACCAGGGAATGTGCCCCCCACACATTCAGGGAGTGTTGGACACAGCTCCTGACGTGGGAGGTTCGGGGAGGGCCTCCGGGTGTCTGGAAAACCCCATAGAGAGTTAACAGCGGCAGTGCAGGTCGTCCCCGACTTACAGCGGCAGGGGAGGTGGGGGGGTCCTTTCCAATGACTCCATTGGGAGTTGGTTCTGACTTGAGTTGAACCACCTCATGAAAAAAGAAGGTTTTCAGAGTGCCTCTCCTTACACACTGTCCGGTCAAGAACCACGGGCTCACGTACCCCCTGCAGCGACGAACCAGGCAGGTAAAGCCTCCCCGGCCCTTCTCGGCTCCCAGAGTCCAGGGGGCATGAAACCAGACTCACAGCCCAGTCGACGGCCAACTGCCAGCGACCCTGTCGGACAGGGTAGGACTGCCCCTGGGGGCTTCAGAGGCGGCAACTCTGTTGGGGAGCAGAAAGCCTCCTCTTTCTCCCGCAGAGCCCCTGGTGGTCAGTTTCCCACTGCCGGCCCCACCACTATGCCCGGGAGCTCTTCCTAATGCCCAACTCCACAAGGGGAGGTTTAAACCAACGATCCTTGGGGAAAGGGGGAGGCACAGCCTCAGACACCCACAGGAGCAGCTCCGCTCTGTCCACTAGGGTCGCGATGAGTCTATCGGCACTGACTCCATGGCAGTGAGTTTGAGCTTTACTGAGTGCTGCCTGGTTAACTGCAGTCCCCCCTCCCCAGCGGCACCCCCCCCCCAATAGCTGAGCCATCCAAAGTCATTTCCTCCTCCTCCTCCTCTCCCCACCTCCTCCTCCTCCCCCACCCATCCCGCCCACCGACTCTCACTGGCTGAGCCATCCAAAGCCATTTCCTCCTCCTCCTCCCACCTAAGAACATTCCACCTCTCGGAGGGGGGACTGGCTGGCACCCAGCAGGCCCTTCTGCTCCGGAGGCTGACTGCCCATACAGAACAGAATGGCCAGTGTCCACGGCCAAACCGCCTCCAGGAAGCCGTTTGCGGAGCTACTGTCTGATCGGCCGGCCAGGAGGTAACTCCAGGGCGACAGCCAATCCCACGAATGCCCACGGTTGAAAAGGGCACCTGGCCCCCATGGATGGCCAGGGCAGTCACCCCATTCAGCCGGGCTTCCTGGAGCATATCCTGGGCCCTCCGGTGGGGGGCTGTGCCCTCGGGTCCCCTCCATCACTCACGCCTCCACAAGGGCCCCTGAGGGTGATGGGGAGGGGGTGGGGGGAATGATGTGGGCCCCAGCAGACACGGTGGAGCAGGTGATTCCAGCACAGCACTCTGGACTGGAGCTAGGGGGAGTGACCCCTGGGTTGTGCAGCCCCCAAACCCAAACCCACCCTCCCTGCCGTCACGTCAATGCCAGCTCATCGAAACCCTGCAGGACAGGGTGGCACTGTCCCTGTGGGTCCTGTCCTCAGAGCTGCTGGTGGTTCCGAGCTGCCCCACCACGCCACCAGGGCTCCTTTCTGCAGCCCTGCCCCCCACCCCCAAAATGCCTTGGGTAACTCTGGACAATGCTGGAAGCCACACTTCCCTGCGTGGAGATTGCGAGAGAAAGGCCGGGCGGTTTGCCAATGATGCCCGAGAAGACCCTCTGGGGCAGTTCCCCTCCATCGCATGGGGACGGCGTGAGCTGGGGTCTCTCCCGCCCCCCAATGTGCGTGTCTCACCCGATGCTCACAACAGCCCACTTGACAGGTGGACCCCGAGACACTGCCACCTCCTGCCTGTCCGTCCGTCTGTCACCCCGTGGCAGCGGCTGTATTGCTGTGATGCTGGAAGCAGTGTCACCGGTATTTCCAATGCCACCAGGGTCCCTCAGAGGGAGCAGGTTTCGGCCGAGCTTACAGACTAAGACACACATGGGCTGTGCACTTTGGGGGTGGGGGTGGGGGTGGGGGGCGCTGACCACCGTATGGACAGCAGAGGGCACTGTCAGATCCTGGAGGCCGCACGCACGGCCAGAAGATGGGTCCCTCAGGTTGGAATGCACCCAAACGTTAAGACCCTTGACGAGCTGGGCTGACACAGGGGCCACAACAAAGGGTTCAAAGGTGACAGCAATCGCGTGGATGGTGCAGGAGGCGCGGGTCCCGGCAGTGTCTCCTTCCATTGTACTTGGGTCATTAGGAGTCGTGCAGTGGTTATCGAGGATAGCCACCGGACAGGTCTGGCTGGGGGTGGAGCTTAACCTGTCAATCATGTGGTAGCCTGATGACACCTCCTGGGGGCGTGGCCTTTTGTATGAGAACAATATGGAACAGAGGATTCCCCTCTGTCACTTCCCTTCCTCCTCACTGGGACTCTGTCTGTCTCCCAGAGTGGTCCCATGTGGGCCACCTGACCCTGAGAGCTGCCAGTGCCCGCCAGCCTTAGATCCACATGACTCTGCCCCCCACTGGCCTGTGATCTCCCCACTTCCTGCATCATCTGCTTGCAGCTCCGGGAGTCTGAAGAGGGTCCCGACCAGCACCGGCCCCATGGAGCGGAGTTGGACTGGGCCAAGGTGCCTTGTTGACGTAAAGTTACTTCTTAAATAAAATGTTTCTGTTTCTCTAGACGACCCAGCTTAACACCGATACCGAACTGATACTGATGCCGCCTAACCAACTCATAGGCACCTGACAAGAGCACCCCAGGGAGGCCCTCCCCCAAGGGCCCAAGGTGTCTAATTCCCTTTCATACTCAAACCAAGCCTTTGAAGTCGACAGTGTTGCTGCCCGGTCCTGAGAGTAATTCGTAAAATGAGCTCCCCGGAGCCGGGCAGCCGAGGCCCTGATTCCAAAGAGGCGCCATTATCTTTGAGGTGACTGGCACGCTACCAGACTTGTAATTGGCCCTCCAGGGCAATGGGGTGTAATGTAATTACAGCCACGGGTTAATTAGATACAAGAACCACCCTTCCACCTAGAAGACACAGCAGCAAAAAGACAACACAAAGTATGGGGGTGACTTTCGGCTCAGTCCCTGCTCAGCCACGACTGCCATCAACCTGGGCCCCTTTCCCGGACCCCCCACCATCTCCACCTCACTTGGCCCAGTGACAAAACCACCGGCACCCGCCACAGACACACACTGGGCCAGGGGAACCAACGGAGGACGTGCCTAACGAGAGGATCCCGCACGGCCGAGTTAGTAAACTCACTCTCGGGGAATTGTGCAGAACAAGGAGCCGAGTTCCAGGAACACTCCCCTTCCCCGTCTCATCCTGTCCACCCAACCCAACTGGCGCTTTGAAGTCCCCGGGGCCACACAGCTGATGCCTTGGTACAGATGCAGACACCAGCCTGGTGTCTCGGTGAAGACCCATTTTATCTGGAGCCAACAATCAGGTGACCTATTACAGGCCCTGGTGAGCGGGGCCGGGGCGTGGCAGCCACAACGGGCTGGAGGAGGCAGCCGTGGTGAGGACGGTGCCCGCCGGGTTGGGCCAGGCTTCCTTCGTGTGGGTGGGGCAGCTGAGTCGGTACCAACTGCAGCCAAAGATTCACCTCCAGCTCTTTAAGTTGCATGTCTGCCGGCGGCCTTGTAAGCAAGTGTGAGGGGGCTTCAATGGGGTGTGAAGACTTCCCATTTCTCCACCAGCTCCTTGTAAGCAAGTGTGAGGGGGCTTCAATGGGGTGTGAA